CTGGAGCGTTCGGTGGAGCTCCCTATGGGGCCACGCAACGCTGTCCTGGGTGGCGTTGACGAACGCGGACCCTGCCACTGGAGCCTTCGGTGGAGCTCCCTATGGGACCACGAAACGCTATCCTGGGTGGCGTAGACGCACGAGGACCCTGCCACTGGAGCCTTCGGTGGAGCTCCCTATAGGGCCACGAAACGCTGTCTTGGGTGGCGTTGACGCATGCGGACCCTGCCACTGGAGCGTTCAGTGGATTTCCCATGGGGCCACGAAACGCTGTCCTAAGTGGCGTTGGCGCATGTGGACCCTGCCAATGGAGCCTTCGGTGGAGCTCCCTATGGGGCCACGAAACGCTATCCTGGGTGGCGTTGACGCATGCGGACCCTGCCACTGGAGCCTTCGATGGAGCTCCCTATGGGGCCACGAAACGCTGTCCTGCGTGGCGCTGACGCATGCGGACCCTGCCACTGGGGCCTTCGGTGGAGCCGCGTTGACGCATGCGGGCGGTCCCACTGGGACCTTCGGTGGAGCTCCCTATGGGGCCACGAACCGTTATACTGGGTGTGTGAAACACAGGGAGGAAGGAGGAGGGGGAGAAGGGAGGAGGGGGAGGAGAAAGGAGGCGGGAGGAGGAGGAGAACGCGGGGCCCCATCTCTTCAAAACGAGGACCCAACACCACAGGATGGTTTCGCCAAAAAACGCCATTTGGCTCGAGCCCTGGGCGCCCGGCTGGGCACCGCTACCGTGGCACGGGAGCGGGGGGGTCGGCAGAGCAACAGGAGGGGGAAGAGGACAAGCAGCGGCAACCCACTATCAGGGACGTGGGCCCGTGGCCTGGAAGCCCCACCTCCCAGAGCTCCCTTGCCTCCCCCGCCTTCCCCTGCCCCTTTCCTCCCGTCCCTCGCCCTCCTCCCGGGGGAGCTCTGGGGACCTTCCAGGGGCTCGGGCGGTCCCTCCTTCTCCCTTCCCTCCCGCCTCTCCCCCGTCGTCCTCCCTGCCCTCCGTCTCCCCTGCCTGCGGGTGACCCTCCCTGGTTCCCGGCGGGCGCCGTCGCCGCGCCAGCCCCGCATCGGCCCGCCAGCCGCCGCAGCCGCGGTCTGCCGGCAGGGCCGGAGGGGGGGCTCTCCAGGGGCGCGATCCGGCCACAACCTCGGGGCGGATCCTGCGCCGTGGCTGCGAGGGGAGGGCAGCGGCAGCGGTCCATGTTGTCTTTCTCTCGGCAAGCCGCGGGAGCGAGCGCTCGAGGCGTCAGCCAGGGGGGGGCCCCGCGGCCCGCTCGCTCCCCCGCGCAAACAGGCACCGAGCAGGAGAGCGGCAAGGATGCGAGCGGTGTGTCTGCCTCCTTCGATCCTCCTCCTCCTCCTGCCTCTCCCACCCCCCTCCCCTCCCTCCCTCCCGTCCGCGGCCCTGGCGCTCGCCCGTCTTTGGAACAGGTGACCAATGTCCTGGGTACCCAGGTGAGCGAATCAAACTAATGGGTCTTACGCGAGATGGCATAGCGAATTAATGCGGTGGCGTACGCGGGCCGCCAGCGCGGCACGCCACACACAAACATTGGAAACGAGGGCGCTTCCGCGCGACCTTACGTGGGCAACTCACGCGCCAATGTCGGTGAGGACGGCCCCGTTTTACTGCGTCGCTCGGGTGGAGGGCGACAGTCCACCTGGGCACCGGCAACGGGGCACCCCCCTTCCCTCCCTCCCCCCGTCCGCCCCCGCCCCCCTCGTGCCCGGGAGCAACTATGCCCGGAAGGCCCCCGCTGGGGCCCGCGCACTCTGGCTTCAGCTTCTCGTAGTAGGCCACCGCGGCGCTGAGCTGCTCCTGGGGCGCCCCCGTAGGCCGAGCGCGGGCAGCAAGATGAGCAGGAGCTCCTCCTCATCATCCCTGCCATCCCTGCCTCCTTTTCCTCCTCCTCCTCCTCCTCCTCCTCCTCCTCCACCTCCTCACCACCACCCTCCTCCTCCTCACCACCACCCTCCTCCTCCTCCTCCTCCTCCTCCTCCTCCTCCTCCTCCTCCTCCTCCTCCCTCCCTCCCTCGCCCCTCCATCCATCCATCCATATCCATCCATCCATCCATCTCATCTTACTTTCCCTCCCCCTCCCTCCCCCCTCCTCCCTCCCTCCATCCCTCTCTCCTCCTGCCAACCCTCCTCTTCACCATCCTATCCCTCCCAGCCTCCTCCTCCTCCTCCCCCTCCTCCTCCTCCTCCTCTTCCTCCCCTCCTCTTCCTCTCCCTCCCTCCCTCCCTCCCTCCCCCCTCCCTCCCGTGTCTCTCTCCTTCTCCATTCCTCCTCCACCCATCCTCCCTCCCTCCATCCAACCATCCCATCCAACCATCCATCCTCCCGTCCGTCACCCTCTCCTCCTCCTCCTCCCCCCTCCTCCTCCTCCTCCTCCTCCTCCTCCTCCTCCCCTCCTCCTCCCCCCCTCCTCCTCCTCCTCCTCCTCCTCCTCCTCCCTCCTCCTCCTCCTCCTCCTCCTCCTCCTCCCTCCTCCTCCTCCTCCTCCTCCTCCTCCCCTCCTCCTCCTCCTCCTCCTCATCTCCTCCTCCTCCTCTCCTCCTCCTCCTCCTCCTCCTCCTCCTCCTCCTCCTCTCTCCTCCCTCCTCCTCTCCTCCTCCTCCTCCTCCTCCTCTCCTCTTCCTTCTCCTCCTCCTTCTTCTCCCCCTCCTCATCCTCCTCCTCTTACTCTTAGAACTCGGAATAAACAGAAACTTTCGGAGGTCCGCGCGGATGTCGTGGATCGGCGCTGCAGCCCCCTCCTTTGCGCACGGAGCGCGCCAGGAGCGGCGCCGAAGGCGCCGCAAGGGGTTTCCAGAGCCGATCCAGGAGATCCGAGAACATATTCCAAAGCTCACGGTCGGGAACTGTTGCTTAGCGTATCGCGGCGGCAGCCCCCGCGACACGCTGCGCCTAGCAAGCGGATAGCATGTCGCTTCGCTCTGCGGGGCGGGAAGCTGGGAAGGCTTGAGACGTTGGCGCCTGGAGACGCCGAAGCGTGGTGGGCCAGAACTGGCGGAGCGACATGCTCTGCAGAAGTTGCTGACGGTATATTTACGCCGGTGCCTCTTCTTCGACTCTCCTGCTCCCCTCCCTCCCTCGCGATGTCCCGCCTGCTTGATCGAGAGCATCTCCTCCGCCTGGTGCAGCGCGCTGGTCTGCGCCTTGATCCTCGCGCCCTTATGCTTGATCTCGTTTTCCTTGAGCGCCTGGCCGAGCGGGCTTCAGAGGAAGACGCAGGAGGAGCTGGCGCTACGAGGAGGAAGGCACGCGGGAGACCAGGACAAAGCTCGGGACGTGGACGCTCAGGGACCAGGACGTGGTTCGCGTGTTGCGCCGCGTGGTGGGCCAGAACTGGCGACGCGGCATGCTGAGCAAACGTTCCCGACCGTGTGTCCACACCCGTTGCCGCGGGTCGTGTCCTGGGGACTCGGGGAGCGGTGCACATGGACAGCTGCCCGCCCATGCTGGTCGGCAGATACCCGAGCCCACAGCTCCTCGAACTCCAGGGGCACGGCCCCGAAGCGGTGGACATGGGGCATGCTCTGGCAGCGGACGGGGGCCGCAGGCGGCGGCAGCCCGTGGGCAGGCCCGAGCCCCGCGACGAGCTCCAATACAATGTTCGCTCTGGCCGGCGGCGTGCATCAGAAGGGCGCCGACCGACCACCGTCGCCTCCTGCTCCTCCTCCTCCGCCTCCTCCTTCTCCTCCTCCTCCTCCTCCTCCTCCGCCTCCTCCTCCTCCTCCTCCTCCTCCTCCTCCTCCTGACCAGGCCCAGCGTGGACCTGGTCAGGATCGGTAAGGTGGCCCGTCGGCGCCCCCCGAGGCATGCTTCGCCGGCTGCCGCCGCGCAGCCGCACGCCACGCTGCACCCTCGCTCGCCAGCCCGGCCTCCCGTGCGCGGCCGTCGCGGCGGCGGCGGCCTGCGCGCAGGCCTGGCCCGCGGCGAGCTCCGGAGGCCAAACGCAATCTCTGGCCGTCACCGCGGAGCCGTGCAGACGAGCTGCTGCCCTGAGGAACGCTGAGCGATCCTCCCCCTCCTCCCCCTCCTCCTCCCCCTCCTCCCCCTCCTCCCCCTCCTCCCCCTCCAGCTCTTGCAGGCCCCGTGCAGCGCCTGGGTGCACGAGGAGCGCCGGAGGGACGGCCACGGAGGGACCGGAGGATCGGCGAGCCCCTTCCGAGCTCGAAGGGCTCCACATCCAAGCGACCTGGCCGTAAGCCGCGGCCGGAGGGCGCCCTGCCATCCCCCCTGGCCAAAGGCCCCCCCCACCGCGTCCCCCCTAAAGGAAGCCAGCGCGCGTGAAGCACGCCATGTCCATGAGCCAGAACAAACAAGCACCCAAGCCAAAACGATCAGGGAGCGCACGTGCGCCAGAATGCGGCATGCAGACTCTGAATCACTCCACTCACTTCGCAGCGGCTACTGGGCTACTGGAAGGCAGCGTGGCGACGGCCAGACTGGTGCAGGAGAGGTGCTAAAATCGAGACACGCAATGGATACATGCCCGCCCAGCCCGCCCTCTCCGAAAGGCACGCGCACGCTATGACTATCACATAAAATTGTTAGCGCCCGTCATCGTTGTCATACATGACTTGTCATGATGTTCGCCCTCTCTCCACGTATCCTGCTCATCCCCTTCATCATCGGCATCTTCACCGCCACTAGCATCACCACCATCGCCACCAGCATCTGTGTAATCTTCATCATCGTCGCCATTGCATTGACATCGCCATCGGCATCGCCATCATCGTCGTCGTCACGGCCGCCACCGCCACCGCCAAATTATCATCATCAGCATCAGCATCAGCATCATAATCATCATCATCATCATCATCAGCATCATCATCAGAATCATCATCATCATCATCAACATCATCGACAGCATCATCAGCATCATCGGACTCATAATAGTATCATCATCAGCACCACCATCATCGTCATCATTATCAGCATCACCACCACCCTCCTCATCATCGCTACCACATCATCACTACCACCATCATC